AAAAAAAAAAAAAAAAAAAAAGAATATCTATTAAATGCAGTCATTTTAAACAAAGAACCAAACATAAACAAACGAAAAATAAAGGAATCCATCTTAATTGAACAAAACAACCCTACACTAAACCAACACCCCGGGGTGACAAGATACCTCTTCCAAATCTTGCAACAGTATCCGGTCATGTGACGTCTTTCTTTAATACATATCCTTGTCAGTGTAAATTACTTGTACCTGATGATGACAAAACCTTGTACATTTCCTGTTATGTTAAACTTATATTAAAAGTTTTTTCTTCATTACCCATTCAAGCTGTCTCCAAGCGTTACTAAGCAAGCTTGATGTTCACATAGGAGGTTCTAGAGATTATGAATGCTTTAAAATGAAAATAAGTATAAGTTATCCCTATCATGAAACTACTTTAATTTTAACAAATCTGATTTTTTTTATAAAACATACTGTACATGTCTACTAAAAGATTGCCAATTTTCATAAAGGTACTCGTAGTAAATTTAGAATTACAGTAATCGTTAATTCTCCAGCACGGGTTCGGTCCATTGCGCGAGCATTACTGCTAATGGCCGATATGATACGCGCACTTTTAGGCTTACAGGTGAGTAAAGACCATAAAACCAGTCTAGAAGAAATAAATTACCGATAAAAGGCTTAAATGAAACAAACGGAAAGTGGAAAGTAATGAAGTTTACAAATTATCGAAAACATACGTAGTTAAGATGATTATTATCTATTCTGAAATTTACCATCGCGACGTTTATAATTGCACCCTCGAGATAGTTCGATGTACCGTTACACTTGTAGTTGTGGCTTGCATTATTTTAAAGCACGATTCAAGCGTCCGTGTGAAAAAATATATATTCATTTTCACAGTGTGCAACCAATTCATATTATAGCGTATCGCTGACAGTACAACCGTAATAATAATAATCATAAAATAAAGTGATACGTATCTCAAAAATTATACGTATTCTATGCAGATACGGTACCTATCTGGAACCCTGTACACACAATTTCTAATCATTACTATTACAAACTGACGCGCCCCCTATAAACAACAGACGTCTAAATTAAAATGTTAAATAGTTTACAGCAATATAATGAATTACAAATATTTTAAAATTTGAATGTGAATTTATTCATTCAACTTCTTTTGTTTGTGTTTTTGTTGTTTTCAGTTTAGTTTAGATTCCATTTTTTCCTACTAAAAGTATTTGTTGGATGGATTAGATATGCCATCCATACACGTGGATCTAGTGTGTTCTGTCACTCCAGATATTTGTATGTTTTTTTTTGTTTTGTTTTTTGGTGAAGTAAGAAAACTTAGTTTTTTAAACTTACGATTGAGGTAAAGTAATTGGATTGGTGATATTATGTTTAAAATAGTGCAAAACATTAAGTTTTAAATAACTTGTTCAAACTTAAAATGTTATCCCTCCGGTTATTTTTTTGCTATAAAAATATAAGTGCCTTTGAAAAAGTAAGGTAAACAGTAAATATAGTTTTTAGGATTTTCTCTAAGTAAGAATGCTTCATTTATTCATTAGACATTTCATGAGTTTTGTGTCATATTGCTAAAGTTAGCGTGTAGTGTATATGTAAAGAAATATTAAACATTGACTTAATTTTAAACATAGAAGTCTTGTGGGGGGGGGACTAAACAGTAACATCAAGTGTTGTTTACACGACTTGAAGTCTTGTTGGGGGGGGACTAAACAGTAACATCAAGTGTTGTTTACACGACTTGAAGTCTTGTGGGGGGGGGGACTAAACAGTAACATCAAGTGTTGTTTACACGACTTGAAGTCTTGTTGGGGGGGGGGGACTACACATTAACATCAAGTGTTGTTTACATGACTTGTTGAAATAAGCTTTCTTTACACCTCTTTCCCTACATTTCCAAAACCTGTACAGTAATCTAGTTTTATTTTTATAGCCATTGTGATAGAAACCAGTTAATTAACATGGTTTTTATCACACGTAACAGTATCTCTAACCTCTCTTGTTCCAGGCCAAGTTAGGTGTGGTAACATTATAACCTAGACTGTGACATCCCAAAGATATCTTATTAAACCTAAAAAGATAAAGTATGAAATACAAAGCTCTTTATTATTATTATTATTATTATTGTTATTATTAGTTTAACTGCAGTTATTTTGTAACATCACAGAAGTTCTTTATGAAGGATTCAGTAACTAGAAGTAGCTGGACACAAGTTTGTAGTAGCTGTCTTGATACGGTCATAATTATTGTTTAGGTTTAACTTGTTATTATTTATCAGTTTACTAAATAAAAGTGGGATGCAGATTAAATAGAACAACAAAAGGAAACAGGTTTCTGCTTTGTTTTGAAGTACCATTACAGTTCTAATGATGCTTCTATTAAACTCTGTTTAGACATCCCACGTCATGTTGCTCAATGGCAGAGATCATGTCAGTTCTCTTCTTCAACACAATGAGGTACAAAGTGACTGAACCTAGGGATGCTTCAAATGACCGGTTTGTTCTTTCTAAGGTGAGGCTTACTTTAACCACCTCCTTTTCATGTCTAAGAAGTTTATTAACTGAACATTTTAAAAATTTCTCCTTTTTGGAGATGTATTGCACCATTAACAAATTTATTCACATTTTAAAATGCCCGATAAAATAATCTGAGCAGTGGTAATGTGTGCCAGGTGTAAATTTTAACTATTTTATTTGGACATGTGTATGTATAACTTTAAGTTATAAATATTCATTAATAAAACAAATATTGAATGTGGTATAAAGTTTTTTTCTTTATATTAAGAAATGATTGTTATTCTGACAGCTGTTATTACTTGTTCTTTTAGGGCCATGCTGCACCTATACTCTATGCTGCATGGGCTGAAGCTGGACTCTTTCCAGTAGATGATCTGCTAAATCTAAGAAAAATTGACTCTGATCTTGAGGGCCACCCCACTCCTGTAAGTCAAATGGATAGTTTCTAGTAAGGTATAGACTCCTTACAAGTTTGAAATACTGGTTAGATGAGGCTGAATTAGTGTAACCACATGGACATGTGGTTTAATATTTAGCTAGCATGGAAATACTGAACAATTAAGTTTGAAATACTGGTTAGATGAGACTGAATTAGTGTAACCACACGGACACGTGGTTTAATATTTAGCTAGCATGGAAATACTGAACAATTAAGTTTGAAATACTGGTTAGATGAGACTGAATTAGCGTAACCACACGGACATGTGGTTTAATATTTAGCTAGCATGGAAATACTGAACAATTAAGTTTGAAATACTGGTTAGATGAGACTGAATTAGTGTAACCACACGGACACGTGGTTTAATATTTAGCTAGCATGGAAATACTGAACAATTAAGTTTGAAATACTGGTTAGATGAGGCTGAATTAGTGTAACCACACGGACATGTGGTTTAATATTTAGCTAGCATGGAAATACTGAACAATTAAGTTTAATTCAGTCTCATCTAACCAGTATTTCAGTGTAGATTTAGGTAACCACATGGACACGTGGTTTAATATTTAGCTAGCAATTAAGTTTGAAATACTGGTTAGATGAGGCTGAATTGACATAGATTTAGAATTGGGTAATTAATGGTTTAATATTTAGCTAGCATAGAAATATTGGACTGGTATATAGCTATATGTTGAGACTGAGAACTGGACAACCACCCAGATGTAGGGATGAACATTGAATTTGGGCAGAGTGAGAACTGGATGATTGGCTAGATGTATGGCTGAATGTTGAGCTGGGGCAGCTCAAGAACTGATTAAGTAAACTTTAATTACTGAATCTATTTTTTGAGGAAGTTTGCAAACATTTTTATTGACTAATCATTAGAGGTTGCACTTGTTTCTGTTTTCCCTGTTTTTAAAGAATACTTTTTTTTTCTTTTCAGAAACTGAATTTTGTTGATGTTGCTACAGGTTCTTTAGGTCAAGGCCTTAGCTGTGCTGCTGGTATGGCTTACACTGGCAAATACTTTGACAAAGCTAGGTGTGTGTTCACATATCTATATACATGTTGAGGTTTGTCACAGAATGTACTTTCTACTAAGGTTCAGTGAAATAGATACATAGAAACATTCATAATTTTGTTTGTTTGCTTTTTAACATTGACTGGATAACCATTATTTTCAGCCCCTCCATACATTTGAAAATGATATTACTTGTTCAGTATTTTAACTGTTTCTATGTTCAGAGAGATATCTGAAAGTGTGTTTGTGTTATAGCCTTCCTATACTTATTCAGTATTGTAACTGTTTCTATGTTTGGAATGATTAGTTACATCTGAAAGAGTGTTTGTGTTATAGCCTTCCTAAGTACTATGAACTGTTTCTATGTTCGGAGAGATTAGTTACATCTGAAAGAGTGTTTGTGTTATAGTCTTCCCAAGTACTATGGGACTGAAGACTTTTTTTATTAAACAGTTTTTGTATAATTTGATTAAAACAATTTAAAAAAGTTGTTTAGATATTGTGTGTGTGTGTATATGTGTG